ACAGTTTGCTTGAAAAAAAAACAAACTTGTATATAACATTACTCCTGCCTAACATTTCGTAGAACTGGGCTGAAAATCTAATAACAAATGCATTTTGGCTTGAGTTCGCAATGAAAACACTAATTAAAAAAATGCTCCGGTTTGTTTTTCTACATTTTACCCACTACAGCTCAATAGAACGCTCTCATACAAAATGGGGATGGTTACTTTAAAAGCTTCTAGTTCAGTTTTAATATTTTCACATGTTATCACGACACTTCAAATGTCATTGCCAAAGGACATGAAAAATAAGCAGTTTATAAGCAGTCACGTCACCTAAGAGGAAAGGGGAATCATGTTTCATGAATAGCGCCATTTGTTCCTTCACATCGGAATTTCCGGAATGATAGAGCTTCAGTAGGTCAATACATTTTGAAAGTAACCATTTGATGTTTCTGTAAAATAACAGTACTTCAACCTACCGGTGTCTTTTTATGGGGTAACATGAAACCATGTTCTTAAAAGTGTTGTTGTTGTTGTTTTTAAATTCAAAAAGCAATTCAGTAACAGAATATGCAATTCTGCTAAATGTCTCTTAACAGCCGCCGCCGCCACCTATCACTGATTAAGGGGAGCCAGGTGTTTCTGTCGTCTAAGTCGCTGCAATTCTCCATGCACAGTTGAGCCCCTAGGCGTGTCAATATGCTGTGGTCGTAGGTTCGAAACCTAGATTCGCCCTGATAATGATTTTTGGTTTGTCAGCTCCGTATACGTAGGTTTCATAGGTAAACATCTAAGATCTGCATCACGTCGAAATTTCCACTCACATCAAGTTGACCGCCGCCACTCACTCACTCACTGATAAGGACCTACTATATATCATTCTGTAGGTGGGATAACTACCCCTAGTGCTCTTCGGGTGATATAATAAAGTCACGGCCATTCTCTTTTCAGAACATGTTGCCGACACAAACGTTTGTATTAAGGAGTTATAAGTTTTTGGATCAACACAGTCAAGGGGACACCACTCTTTCACCCATATACCATAAGTTAACATTTGTCAACCTTTGAGTTAGTGGTTGTAACTGACGTTACAACTGTATGTATGGGGTAAACAGAGTAGGTCTTATAACTATATTTCCCACACCTTGTCTCTATTTGTAAAGGTAGGTTCAGCGATGTGGAAGAAAATATTGTTTTGCATTTGTTTGGTAATTATAGAAGCGCCATTAAAATATTCATCCCCTACCGTTCATCCAAATGCCAAATAGATTGGTTGGTTGGCTTGTTTTACGCCGCACTCAGCAGTATTCCAGCTATATGACGGCGGTCTGTAAATAATCGAGTCTGGACCAGACAATCCAGTGATTGATATCATGAGCATCGATCCAAGCAATTGGGATCGATGACATGTTTCAACCAAGTCAGCGAGCCTGACCACCCGATCCCGTTAGTCGGTTCCTACGACAAGCATAGTCGCCATATAGAATGGCATCTGAACATTGGACTGATATATAGTCACCTTTATAAAAAAGATATGACTTTAATAAAAAATAAAAATGGAACCATCCAGTCTCTTTATTTCACAGATGGGAAGGGATCGGTATACGCTGCTAGAGCTGAGAAGGGGTGAAATAGGTGTGAATGTTATATTAAATACATGCCCTGTCTAAACCGGACGGGTGTATTACTCAAATATAGGCATATGGCCCATGCTTGAATGAGTTTTTCCCGAAATATTAAATTTGTTGAATTAATATAAACCTTTACACACAATTGTGTCAGTGTGTCCTCGGGTCGCGGCACCTCACATCGGCACACGTCAACAGCATTGCAACGTTGCTGCTACTGGGACGAAACTGTGGACGAAACTACTGTCATTCAGATGAAACTCGTTAACGTTGATCACGCAAATGTCGAAGACTATCCCTAATATTTAGATTCTGTCATCGTGATTTTAGTTCATCCTGGGTCGGAATACCTCCCTGGTACATTCCTACAGCCGCAGAAACAATATACTTTTTCGGAGGATAGATGGCTTATGAAAATTGATACTCGTATCATGTGCATTTCGTCAAATTCCTGTGGCTTGGAAAGACTGATTATAACGAGTTGGGTTCGATTAAACGCCGTTAAGACCATTATTTCACGTATATCACGACGTGTCAGAATGAAGTAGGAGAAAAACTCAAAGCGATTGGGACGGCGCTTCTGACAACATGGTAACCGGTGCTCGCCCACACGACGAGGGGTGATTCAGCTGGATGGAACTGTATTTGATCGAACCCAAAAGGCGTTGACCGTTACTCATGCTATCAACCACTGATTTGTCTCTCCCATACTCGATTACTACATGCCGACGTGATATATGTGTAGATGTTCGGCAGCGGCGTAAAACAACATCCACTCAGTCATGGCTAACGAGCTGAAATGGATCCTGATTTGGGGGTAACAACAGAGGGTTCGGAGTCACGCAACCCTCCCATTATCAATTAGTACAGGCGGACGTTTGCAGAGTGTTTAACGCGTAGTTCTTGTGGATCAGCTTTCCTCGCCTGGGAACTGCATAAGCCGGTCTGAGTGAAATATGGTCCGTCACGCTAACCACACACTTCTCTTATTCGTTTAAAAAATAATAACTACTCCATATTGTCTACACGCTGTGAGACTTGTATCCGACATAATAACACAGCATAGCACATAATCTCGTTGATACATATCGTTAAATTAGCATGGACATCTATTTTTCATCCTGATAAACAAACGACTGTCCGAACCTCGTTATTCATATGAGACACCATATACTGAATTAAAGCGTATGGTAGGTTTTGTTTGTTTGTTGTTTAACGCCGCACTTTGTAATATTCAAGCTATATGACGGCGGTCTGTAAATAATTCAACCAGGGATTGATATCATGAGCATCGATCCACGCAATTGGGATACTATGGCATGCATCAACAAAGTCAGCCGACCACCCGATCCCGTTAGCATAGTCGCCTTCTACAGTAACAACAAGTGTCATCTTTTAACGTCTTTTAGAGAGAGAGAGAGAGAGAGAGAGAGAGAGAGAGAGAGAGAGAGAGAGAGAGAGAGAGAGAGATGTCACTGTATATGTTACACATATTCTGGTCTGTATATTCCTGCACTCGACCAGCCACCTATCACATATATCCGCATACGACAGAATTATAAATATCATGTGATATGTGTAGTATAATGACTAAAACCTGCCGTGTTATTTTAAAACAAAGAAAGTCAGTCCTATTCATTAGAATAAAAAAAAATGTCTTTTTATTGCTTATCTTTAAGAAAATAATATAAAAAGTGTGTACATAGTACTCATAAATAAGCATGTAAAATTTAAACACCTGGATCTCCTATAACTTCGCCTGTTTTACATATTCTTACTACCATTTTTTACTGTAATTGGGATGAAACTCAAACATCTTTAGATGACATATTTTATTAAATTAAAATTATTGATCATTACTAAAATATGTTTTCTTAAATGTACGTGCATTAATTTAAATTGTAAATATGATCAAGGAATTTAATAAAACTTTTAATAAAAGTTTGATCTTAAATGGTTATCTACCACAAATGATTAGACCCGTGTTGGTAGTCTTCGATTACCAAGTGTATTTATATTCGTTCTGTTATCGAGACACCCACGGATGTGTTCGCACGTGGTGTACCTATAATCTCATTATCATTTCACTAATACCCCGTTCACATGCACCTCTATGCATATGTGTGTATATTTGCATATATGTGTACATATACATACGTGAGTATACTTGTCACGTGAACGCGTTTACACCAGGAGCACATTTACATCATGTCTGGAGCAGGTGCAAAAGTAAATGTAAATTTGCACTGTTTGTATATGTTGTAATGTGAACGTTTATGCCAACGTCGGAGGATGATCTAATTAATATATCTGTTGATTTGCCGACACTATACAAATAGTCAACAGTTCTGTATCCTGAGGTGGGGTGAAATTGGGTTTAACGTCGCGTCCAAGATTATTGCACTTATATAGCGACGTGCATGCACGTGTGTGTGTGTGTGTGGCTGCTTGTACTAGACCGGACTGATGCTGATTTATAGTGCTGAGATACCATGCCGCAGTTTAACATGAATACCCCACTCAGACACAGTATACTGACTCCGAGCCGACCAGTCCTTGTTTTAGCCCCTTAATGCCGAGCGGCAGACAGGGTAACAACAAGTACCATCTTTTAACGTCTTGTGGTATGACGCGGCCGGGGATCGAACCCCGGACCTTCCGCTCTCCGGGCGGACGCTCTACCACTAGACCACGGAGGCGGTCCTGTATTCTGAAGTTGACGACTTTAATCCAGGACATCCTGAGCTGGGCGGACAGTGTTTTCTTTGGGTTTCAAGGAGTAAAAAAATGTTGTACAGATTAAGTCAAACACATGTTGCTTCATGTGAAGATTTCTGTAAGATAACTCTCTTCTCATTCGACTTTGATTGGAAAACAACATTTTCATGTTGAAAGACATGAATAGACTGATGAATATGTGTGCCTTACACGATTTACATACCTTATCTAATTTTCATATGAACGCACAGTCAATTTACATATACACACGTATGTACAGTTACACATGTGCAAAATTACTTACGTGAGTAAATATTGTGCATGTGAACGGGGCATAAGCCGTACGCACCCATACTGTAAATATGTACGTGATATACCGAGGAATGTCACGCATTTACATGGAAAAATCTTTTTGTTGATCAACTATTCATTGCTATTCTTTCGTAGGATGAATCATTGACAAGCTATGATTCACACTTGGGAGTCACAACACTGTATATGTTGGGCCTTGGTTTGCTCCATCCCGAGGAATAGGCCATGTACATATACATAAATTAGTAAATGAAATGTAAGAAAATCTTGAAATGCAATATAAACAAATGAATATTTAATGTAAACGATCTCCTCTGTTGGAGAAAATCAATATCGGAAACTTCGCCCGAGTGGAGCGGATCACTTTGAAAATCCCTCAAGTTGCAGCTGTGTGCAGATGTCGTGCTGGTGAACATTCTGTTAAAAATACTACCATCTCGGTCGTATTGAGAAGAAACTTTTAGATTTTGTTGTATCTAGTCCCTACGAAACGATTACAATGTCTCCATGCACATCAGGTGTCAGTTCTGAATCATCTGCAGCGACTGAGCGAGCACTTGTTCAGTGACGTTCCATTGTATCGCCGGTCAAAGGTCAAACTCGTGAAAAGGTGAAGGACGTCGTAGCAGACAGAATGAGGGTTCCGAAAATGGCGGAGCTACAATTTGAAGCTCCCCTTGCGTCGATTGAAACAGAGGATTGGAACGAATTCAACGAGTTTCAAACTGCTAAGACGACAGACGATGAAAACTGTAACAAAGACACGTTAAGCAAGGACCTTCCGAAGGAAAATAACGATAACAGTGTGGCCGAGAATTTCGGCGAAACATTTTCTGGTTCTCTGGAGGATTTAGTGAACTCATTTGACGAAAAAATATCCAAGTGCTTTTGCAATTTTGAAGAACAGGTGGACAAATTTGCTCCTGTGCAGATCAGGACGCAAGAGGAAATTGTGAATGACTGCCAGTGAGTATTCGAAAGTGATTTCGTGGCTGTATAACCAGCCTGTGAGAATATAATGTGGATGGCATTATGTCAACAGTCTGTGGATACTAGCTTCCTGATACTACAGAATGGTTCGTCTGCTATGGAACGAGATTTCTGATGGCAGGGCTGTTTGATGTTTTTTTGTTGTCCTTGTCACCCTGTCCTTTGTATTCGTGGTATATTACGTACACACACAATACACAATCATGCTTATTCAAGCTAATCAACAGGTTTTATTTCAATACACACTGGTTGTGAATCCACAAGTTGTTTATTTATTAGAGTAGGTTATTTCGGAATTCATGTTTTTGGTGCACATGATTAGCAATTACAGCTAAGCATTTTGTTTCATGTCAGACTGGGAACCGATATTTTTAGTACATTGTGGAAAAGGTTTTTCAACAATATGGATGAATTCAAACAAATAGGCCTATGATAGTAAGATATTATGTATTACTAATAAGACCAAATGAAATATGATAAAATAAAATAGTGGTTAATAATTAGATTGTATGTTAAGAGGGTTGCGGCAATATATTTGTATTATTATCATTACCCAGTTGCATGGTTATGATGATGACCTGGTTGAATTGCCCATTTATGATATGTGGTAATTACATTTCATATTCTGAAATGTTCATAATCCAAGTGCAGAAATGTGACACAAGTTTGGATCTTTCACTTTCCTGTCTTCCAATGAATGGTTAGTTTTATATTCCTTTTGTGATTTATCGTTTCGTTGGCGCATTTGCTTAACATGTTTAAGTTAACAAACTTGGCAACATTTCCCCCTAGATCTAACCTAGTTTTCATGTTCCCAACTACATGGTTCTCACAATACTCATGTAGCTTAAATCATTGTGAACTTTCATCAATAATTTTGTAAATATGTGGATTTTTTCCCCCATATATATTTCAGCATGATCTGTGCATAACATGGTAATAAAACTACATGTAGCAAGTAATTTAGAGCTTTAACCTTCTGTGTACATGTGGTTTATCATCTTCAACCAATCTACTTTGACATTGAGATTCAAATTTCATATATAAATATAATAAATAGGTTAATGTAAATTCAAAACATCAAGGCCAAAGGGTAATTGTCACAGTTTTCTGCCGAAACAGATTCCACCAGGCGCAAAGCACAAAATGGTAATGGATTGATCACTAAAAGTCAGTTATGACACCAGGTGTTCCTGAAAGGGTAAGCATCTCATGCTCTACCCATAGCACGCACCACTCACACAATCTGCATAAAAAAGTAAAGTCATTCCCTATTGTCCTACTACTGGTCACTGAATACAGTTTCAATTCTTATCAGGGTTTAAGTTACAGGACACCGGAACCAGACTCTTGTTTAATTGCACTAAATCTCGAAATTAATGTGAAGAATGTCCATGCAACCCATCCCAAAAATCATCCCCCTTGAACTAAGATAGTGAATCTAGTGATGTTGCATAATTATAAGTTGTGGGACGATACACTGATGCATCGGTGGATCCAGATTTTTTACTTTTCAATACAAGCATCGATCACAGTCGCACACTAAGTAAAAAATATCTATTCTGACCTTAAATGTTTGCTTTAATAACTGTTCCACTAAACACTAATCAGTAGTGCAAATTAATAGTGAAAACATAAATATTTTCATTTGTTGTGCCAAACTTGACACTGCCAACTGTAAATCATCAGTGTGCCAGGTACTGTCTATGAATAAGATGGCTTACGCACCACAGATAACAACACATGCAAGTATCATGATACGTATTGGATCGTGAGAAAGGTATCGGATCTCACAGTTGGTCTATCATCCCAGCCCTAATAATCATACAGAATTTGAAATTTAGGTGGATCCTTGGGTCCTTTTGTTTACTCCTGTCTTATTCATATCTACTGAGTTATGACAAGGACACAATGACTTTCTTTATTAATTTTGAACAGTTGCATCAAGGGATGCAGCCCCTGTAAGTGTTATGTAATGTCATTCTACCTTCATTGCTGTTTACATGATTTTGGAAATAGATATTTGTACATTTAACAGAATCGAGACAATAAGAACAATGAGTTACATTGTAGAGGTTTCTTAGGTCCCTGGAAACAGAGTTCATTGGACCCTTGGAAAATAATAGCGGTAAACTGCCTATGCTAAGATATCCAAATGAGATGGACACATGTTGGTGAAGGTATCCTGCAGATTAATAGAAATTCTTTCTTCATCATCACAGATTCCTTCTGTATCAGTGCACAGTACTTAGACTACTCAGTAGAGGAATGTTATGTCGCAGTTTTGTTCACCTGCTATAATCTTCCCCATGTTAAACCGTGTTCGAACTACAGCATGTAAGTCAAGGAGTCCTTGCCATAGCCCTCCTGTTAAAGGTTAAAGAATGATGGGGTTCCAAGATTCAAATGATGTAACACAATCATCAAAGACTCCAGGACCCCATTTAGTTTTAACACTGTTCTACATACCGGTATTAATGTGTTCCTACAAGTTTGTGAAATTTTTCTTTCTTTGTTCCACCCCTCTAACTTCAAAGACCTGTTGATCAAACATGTCAGATGCATAGTAAAATATAAAAATATTACTCTATCTTTTAGCTTGATTTTTGCAATGACATATGAGTTCATAAACATGATAAATGGTAAGAAGTCTAAATATTTACCAGACAGCCCGAGTTTTGAGAACCATGAGATAGCGTTGTATCCGTTTCACATGAGCCAGTATTATAATACTGGAGTAGTTATAAAGTACATTGATGGATGAATTGCTGACATATGTTATCCTTATACTTGGCAAGCTGCAATTACATACGTTAATGTATTGTTAAACATTGTAATGCATCCTCGTGCAAATAATAATAGAGTTTTTAAGAAGAACTCAAACAAGAAATTAATGTTTTTCTTGCATCTGATCAGTTTTCAGATACTCCCACACATCCTTTTGACGTTAGAGCATCAATTACTTCTATATTGATTGTGAAAATGGCTATTACTATGTTATTAAATATGTAGGGGCAGGGGGTTGGCTGTCGCAGTTTGCTGTGCAGAGTTGCGTCCCTTGGGGAAACGCTAGAAACCTATGATTCTGGGTTTGAATCCCAGTTTGCTGTGATTATGTTTCTAGGTTTGTCATCCTACCCATGCCTGTAGGTTTAACCAAAGTGGTAAACGTCTGAGACCTGCATCACTTCGAGTTTTCCTCCCACATTAAACTGACACTCCGTGATATATCTGGAATATTGTTCAAAGCTGCATAAAAAAAACCCCAACTATTAATAAATCACTCTGAGTCTCTATCATTTCATACTGGGAAATATTTATACAAGCATCCTTGTATTGCGATATGTATCACATCACTATATCCCATGCACATGATGCACACAGTCTTTTATCATTTCGATTGGATCGGCACCCCTGTACTGGATATGTATCACATCACTATATCCCATGCACATGATGCACACAGTCTTTTATCATTTCGATTGGATCGGCACCCCTGTACTGGATATGTATCACATCACTATATCCCATGCACATGATGCACACAGTCTTTTATCATTTCGATTGGATCGGCACCCCTGTACTGGATATGTATCACATCACTATATCCCATGCACATGATGCACACAGTCTTTTATCATTTCGATTGGATCGGCACCCCTGTACTGGATATGTATCACGTCACTATATCCCATGCACATGATGCACACAGTCTTTTATCATTTCGATTGGATCGGCACCCCTGTACTGGATATGTAACACGTCACTACACCTCATGCTCAGAAGTCAATATTTCAACAATATTTCATATCAGCAGGAAAAATGAGAAATAGGATACATTGAATGTTCACTGGGATACATAGCCATGTAACCATGATAACCTGAACTCCATCAAATGCCACAAAACATGCAAAATACATACTGGTATTGTCACAGTTTTCCTAATCCTGCATTTACCGGTACCTGTGGAATTTGTGTATTTTATTAAACAAAATCCAGTCTAGATTATGAAAAAGCAAGGCGAGCCAGCTAATCAGCTTCAGGGAAAAACAATGTTTGTTTTTTCATTGACTATATGTTAGTCTACAGTTTTCCTAGAGTAGTATACTACACCTATACTACTCCTAGAGTCAGCATTCCTAGGCCTAGCACTACATACAATGCTGCTCATGAAGCTGGGTTGATTTCCATTGACTGGGTGTTATTTTTCTGGGTCATTATGCAATGAACAACCTGTCAAGATTGCCCTACATTCCATTGCTGGCATTCTTGTAGCTCTGCTGAACTACTCTGGGGAATTATGGTCATTCCATTTTCACCAGGAATTGTGCATCATTTCTCGCCTCCATGGCCTACAAGCTATGCTTAGGTTCACATGGACTTGGATGAAGAATTGGGTTGAGGGTTTGTGGTTGTGGTTGTGGAGGAGGTTGTAGGGGTTAGATTACCCTTACCTGGCTGATCCAACATCAACATTCTGTTCATTGAAACATGTCATAATGGAAGAAATTCTATCATTAAAAACTAAATAAATAAGTATCAGATGTGTCAATTATAAGGTGTAGTGAAATAGGGATTAACATCACGTTCAAGATTATTGCGCTTATGAATATAGCGACGTGCATGCATGTGTGTGTGGCTGTTTGTACTAGTTTGGACAAATGACGATTTTATAGTGTGAGCCCACTGAGATACCATGCCGCAGTTTAACATGAATACCTCACTCAGACACAGTATACTGACTCCGAGCTGACCAGTTCTTGTTTTTCCGCCTTTAATGGTGAGCACCAGGCAGGGTAACAACAAGTACCATCTTTTGACATATTTTGGTGCGATACATCTAGGGATCGAACCCCTGAGCTTCCGCTCTCCAGGCAGACGCTCCACTACTGGTCTACGGAGGCGGTCTGTGGATTGATAAAAATGTGTTGTGACAAATATGATTCACTGAAAAATATTAGAAAAATTAGAAATCT